ATTATGATAATAATAGCCACATTTATTTGAGCACCTACTGTGTGCCAGGAAGTATGTTAAACAAACATACATACACAGATACCCCATTTATTCTTACAGCACTATGAGAAAACACTGTTTCACAGGAAACTGAGATTAAATATTCCAGGATTGCAGTTTAGGTTTGTCCGGTTCCAAAGCCCAAATTTGTACTATATGGCTCCTCCATTTCTCGGTATTACTTTCCATGAATATTATATTTTATTCAAAATGAGGTCTCTCTTATTCTACCAATGTGGCTCTTTCCAATCCCTCTGCTTTTTTCTCACCCTACTTCTAACCTTCCCACCCCTTTATTTATATCTAAATTGTACTAATCTGTCAGAGACCTCCTTTATCACCACCTGTTCTATGACACCTTTCCTGAATCTCCAGCCAGAAGCAATCTCAGTCCTATTTGTCAGCTACACAGCAGCTAACAAGGTCTCTGGTGTCCTTTAACTGCTCTGTACATGCTAAAGAATGGTATTAAAATTCTATAACACTGCCCATGCGTTATTTTGTATTCATAGAATGCTTTCCTCTAAAAGCTCAAGTAAACTAGAAGGTTTCTTCTGAGCTTATTATTGTAGAGAAAACTGACAATCATAATGCATAATCTAATGCATAGTAAGGGAATCTGTCTAGAAGATGTTTCTTATTTCAATCTAAGATTGCAGTATATTCAGTAATTTTCTCTAAGCAGTTTTTACACACCTCATTTCATTTTCATCAGCCATGTTTTGTAGCTGCAGGTGTGAGATGTGGGTTGATCATGTATATCTTTGACATAGGCTGCCATTTTACAAAGTTCACTGGATAACTGGTATTTTTTATAAGTAGTATAATAAAGGCTATTTTAAAGCATAAATCTGTTTCCTAACACTCTTATGTATGTTCTATGCTTTTCATTTGAATTTTCTCTAAACATTAGAGAAAAGAACCATGGAATTATAAAAGCCAGGTCATCTTTCCTCATGTCACCATGGGCATTGTGATGGTTGCCACTGACAGACACGTTTTGCTTTCTTTGCTTTATTTCACTTAATACTTTTAAAGGTATGCATTGAGCTATGGAGGGGATAATGGAAATATAAGTCTCCGAGGTAATATAGTCTAGTCTAGAAGAGATAATGAACAGTGCACAGTAGTATAAAACCAAATTATTGGTATAATGGCAGAGATCATGGATTCAGGAGATAGAGACACTTACAGTCTTTTCTAAAGAATTTAGTACTTCATTACCTACTGTCTTATACTGTGTGTTAAATTACTTGTAAGAAACATTCATAAACTTTTGCTTTATAGTCTGCTTAGAGTACCCAGCAGTTTTTCTGTCTTTGATCCAAAGGCAGTCAACAGGGCCAGTCCTTGCAGTAAATCATTCCTCAGTGGATCATCCCTTATTCCTGGAATTCAATTCTGTTCCTACCTCTTTGTATTAATAGCTTAAAGGTACTGGCCTCAAATCCTACCCAATTACTCATAGTCATTACTCTAGATGTATTATCTAAAACACATTAGTAATTATTTTCTTGCTTCTCCCTCTGGATTTTCTTTCCACTTCCATATTTTATTTTAATTCTGATGATATTTGGTTTGATAGGGGAAAACAAAACTCAAATTTATTAGATCTGTACAATACTCAAATTTATTAAACCTGATAATATGCTAGTTATTTCTCATGTGTGTTCTCTCATTTTATATGCACACATAAACCCAAGAAGATAGTTATTAACCATTTTCATTTTTAAAGTTCAGGAAACTGAAATCCTGAGAAGTTAAATAAATTATCTAATATTGAACAGGTAAGTTTTCTAAAGACTTCAGCATATGGTATTAGAATGTATGTTAGGATGCTTCTTTGAATTAACATTTACTAAAAGACAAAAGCATTATATTTAATGTTGGATATCTTATTCTATCAAAAAGTTGAGTGACACATAATGAAGAATTAAAGATGAGATAGATAATAGAACAGTGTATAGAGAAACAGGTCTACGGAGAATTCAGATATTGGAATTATTGGACTCGGATGCTAAAAAAAACCCAAAAAAACTCCAGCAAAAACAAATGTCCGTGACATTTTCTAATAAATAAAGGGAAGCTTGAAAAAGTTAGGGAACTGAAAAATGCCAAATGGTGACAGTATATTTGAAAAAGAAACAAGTAGAGATTTTAGAATTGAAAAATAGGATTGAAATTAAGAAAATGGTTTGATAGCAGACCAGACAGAGCTGAAGAAAGAACCAATAAACTGGAAAATAAATATAAGAAACTAGGCAGATGATGTTTTGTTGATTTGTACACTTGAAACCTGTATCGCTTTGGGAACCAATGTCACCCCAATAAATTCAATAAAAAAGAAACTATTCAGAATACAACACAGAGAGACAATAATGAAAAGTACAGAAGAGAGAATCAATGATAAACGATAAGGAAAATAAAACTCTAACATCATTTCATTGTAGTCCAATAAACTTTAGCTATTATTACTGCTAGGTCACTCACTCCCTGCTTGAATACCTTCAATATTTCTTATTGCCTACAGAATTAAATGTAAATTCTTATACTAAAAACCTTCCTCTAACTCGTTTAAACTCATCTCCAACTTCTTCCTAACATAAAATAGCTCATCTATGCTCGTTTTACCTTCATGTTGTTATGATTTATGTTCTACTCCAGCTTTCTTGCCTGAAAACTGAAGTCTTTTACAGCCACCTTCCTCTCCAGCCACAGTCCTCCCCTGCTTTTTCATCGTGCTTCATTGATCTGTTATCAATTCTCAAGTTATATTGCATTATAAATTGCATCTCTGATGCCACATTTGATTGCATACTTGTCAAGGGCAGAGATATATATTTTTTAATCCTCACCCAAAGATATTTTCCCATTTATTTTTAGAGAGAGTGGAAGAGAGAGGGAAAGACAGAGAGAAATATCATTGTGAGAAAAACACATCGATTGGTTGCCTCCTGCATGCGCCCCGACCAGGGCCCGGGCTGGGGAGAAGCCTGCAACTGAGGTCAAACCTGGGACCCTTCAGTCTACAGGTGAATGTTCTATCCACTGATCCAAACCGGCTAGGGCAGGGGCAGAGATTTTTTAAAAAAATATTTGAAGACATTATTTTTAGAGCAGTTTTAGATTCACAGCAAAATTGAGTAGAGATACAGAGAGTTCTCATATACACTCTGCCTCTACATGGACACAGCCTCCCCCGCCAATAAACACCCCCCACCAGAGTGGGGTACATTTGCTACAATCAACAACCCTACATGGAAACATCATTATCCAAACTATGGACCAAAGTCCGTAGTTTACATTAGGGTTCACTCTTCATGGTGTATAGTCTAATGGGTTTAGACAAATTAAAATGTCAGGCACTCACTATTATAGAATCATACAGAGCAGTTTTACTGTCCTAAAAATCCTCTCTGCTCCACCTATTTAATCCCTCCCTACCTGCTACCCATGGCTAGAGATTTTTTTAAAATTTATCCTTAGAAGGAACATAATAACTGACATTCTTGTTCCCAAATAAATGTTTTTGGATATATGGTTGAGTGAATGAAAGAAGGAAGGACAAATTGGAGAGAAGCAGGGCATCTTTGTCACCCTCTTGCTGACTGATGTTTTGTCTCTATTTCAATATTGACTCATACTATTCTGTTCTACTCAGAAGACCACCCATACAAACCTGCCTGTTATTGAAATGCTAATTCCCATCTGATCCATTAAACTGAAGTCAAGAGAGACCTCTGGACATTTTAAAGACATATTTAATGAAGGATCTATTTAATTCAATGTGCCACACTTGTATTTTTCATAAGCCTATGTCTAGATTCCCCAGAAGACTGAATTATATTTTTATGTGGGGGGTAGAGTTTTTATATCCTTACTTATTATGAGCAAGAGATGCCTTCATAAATTATTGCTTTTCAGTTGGGATTGTAGACAGTAGCTGTGGAACAGAGAGATTTGCTGGCCTATAAACAATTCACAGTCTCAGTCTCTTTTGCATCAATTCAGCTAGCTGTCTAGGACAGAACATTATTGGGAACTAATTAAAATTATAACAGGGAAGTATATGTTTTTGCAGATTTGAACTTGCAATCGTTTCCATAAAAAGCCATAGAGGATTGCCAAATTGTTGTTAAAATAATATAACTTCTCTTTGTGCTAGCAGAAGTTATTTATAAAACATTTGTCATCCTTTCCCAAGTATTTTAAACATTCCAAATGGCATCGTTGATGTTATTTTGTTTTTATATAAACTTAAGAAGAAAATGTTTCACATGCTGCTGATTTTGAAGACATTACTTTCTTTATCCTTCCACCCCACCCCCCAAACAGTTACCATAAGGGAAGACTAATTTAGATTTTTGAAATTTCATTCATTTAGTTTTGACCATATAGGAGGATATAGTTATCTGTGGGGTAATAGTTTTGTATTATAAAAATGTTTTTTACAAATGTCAGTTTCTCATCAAGGTTAATTCACTGGGATATTTTTCTATAGCTTGAGAGAAATGCTTTGGGGAGGTTTGAATCGGGGTTTTATGAATTGGACCTATGAAACATCTACTTTAATAAAGATCAATACCCATTTGAAAGATTATGAAGAAAACTTAGCCCCATAATATATTAAAGAATCAGGTTTTTTTAAAGTTAAAGTTTTAGTCATTCATATAATTGTGGTAGTCTTCACAGCTATGTTGGTTAATTTATCATTATTAACTGAATAATAATACTCTTCTTTCTTGGGATAATACCACAGGGGTTGATATTATTCTAAAAGAGAACAATGCATTCAATAAACATTATCTTTAAAACATACTGCTGAGCATATTCCTCAGTATGATCTTGTAATTGATACCAGTTTTAAGTTGAAATCTCAATTCCTGGTCATTAAACTAATTTGCCGTCTTAAAAGGTAAACTGAGTGATTAGGTTCATGGCAGTTCTATTTTTATTCACAGATAATGCCTCTGAGGTAGCAATTACTGCTCCAGGAACTAGTAACCATAGAAACAGCTCTACAGGCCCAACACCTGACTGCTCACCTCCATCCCCCGACACTGCCCTCAAAAATATTGTAAAAGTTATTCGACCTCAGGTAAGTGCCCAGAATGACATTATCTGCACCATAACGTATTTTGTTTCTGAATCAGTGCCTGCAAAACTGACATTGCAATGCCTGGCCTATTTTATGATATGTACATTGATTTTTAGATTAAAAGAAGGGACTTGGAAGGGGATGTTTTCTGCCCTTGGAGTTGATGGTAGACACTGAAATCTATATCAGCTTTTAGAAAAAGGAATTTGTATATTATAGAAAAAACACACAAATGAAGCTTAGGAAACGTGCTACTTCACATCATCTTCCTTTCATAACATTTTAATAATTATAGTCCAATTATTAAGTTGTTACTTTTTTTTGGTGTCTCCTGCTCATTTTGTCTTCATTTCTCTGAACATGCTGCATTGCTTGTAATCACTTCCCTATCCTCCAGCCCCAGTTGTTTTTATATATTTTCTTTACATTCTCTATTACTTATGGTCTCTAATTTTGCCTGTGTTTGGTATTTTACATCTCATTGCTCCTTGCTTCCCTTCAGTGCTCACTTTCGCCTAGCTGGTCTCCCTTTACCCTTTGTTCTTTTCCCTCATGCCTGTCATTTGTCTGTGTGGCTTTCTTTCGCTTCCCTCTTTCTTCTCTTTCAGTTGGATTTCCCAGTAGGCGGTTTGCAGGCAAGCTTTAGAAATATCACTGGGACAAGCTGTTCTGTGATATTTCATTGAAAATAGCACTTATAAAGCTGTTAGCATTATATTTTTGCCAACAGGAGAACTCAGAACATGGACTTGGTCTTGTTCTCAAACCTGGCTCGTTCTGAATGGGCCTCATAAAATCCAAGAGAGGGGGACTGTGGATCCAATCAATGCCATTCACCATCTACTTAAGTATATAGTATGAACAAGTCCTTTGAGCTAATTTGTAAGACAGATGTGCCTTTTAAGACTGTTTTGCTGTGAATGAGCCATGATTTCCTTATTATCTTATCTTCTTTCATATCATTTGTTTAGGACGATTCTGATAATCATCATCCTCATTAATAAAATGGCATTTATTTATTTATGTTTTTACCTGGAATTAGCCTTTTACTCGCAATATTATGTTATGAATATTCACCCACATTTATGTGCAGTTTAGTTCATTCATTTCCTTTTAAAATTTAAAAATTTTTATTTTTCCCATCTCCTCTATGCCCTCTATTCCCCCTCCACCCCCACAATCACCACACTGTAGTCCATGTCCATGAGTTCTCTCTCTTTTATTTTTATTTTTTCCTCATTCCCCCCTCCCTGCACCCCCATCCTTGAGCTGACTGCCTGCTCTCTATCTATGAGTCTATTCTCTATTTTGCTTGGTAGTTGTTTGTTCATTAAATTAAACATGTAAGTGAAACCATATGGTACTTGTCCTTCTCTGACTGGCTTATTTCACTTAGCATAATGTTCTCCAGGTCATTCATGCTGTTGCAAAGGCTAAAATTTTCTTAAAATGGAATTTAAACCTTACATATCCACCTCAGTTTATAGAATATTTTCTTCTTTTTCTTACTTTTTTTTTGGACACTTTCATATAAATTGTTTCCATTAACCTTCATTAACTCCGAGGGAATGGATATTCTGGTGTTTGGGGTAAGGATGTTGGCACTCCAAAGGGGCTAAGTTGCACAACTAATTTGCAGTTCTTTTCCTTTCTTTCATATAATAGTTGTCTCTTCTGGTCCTGTTCAGAGGCTAGAAAAATCCTCACGAGATTGTACAACATGACATCTTTATGAGGAACTTACAGGTTTGGGGTCAGTTAGGCACAGTCACATTTTACACAGAGTCCCAATATGCAGAGGAGAAAAATGTCTTCAAAAACCCTTTCTTCCTCTTCAGGGAAATGTCATCTAGTTCATTTGCTTCAAGAAATAACCTCATTAACCCCATATTTAGATGCTAAATGCCACATTAACTGTCATCGGTTCTCTCATTATATGAAGCTGTTTCTGGTGTTACTGCGAAGCCATAACATTTCCAGAAATTTTAAAATGTCTTAGGTAAGAGATTGTCCTATATGTAAGTTAATAAGATCCATTAATAAACATATTTACTTTTATACCAACGTAAATTCTCTAATGTAAATGCATGTGGTCATTCAATGAATGAAAAACAGATTTCTTTCTACATATCTGAAGTCTATGCAACCCTAAGGAAACTTAATCCATAAATCCTCCCTTACATATTCTTTAGCTGTGTTTATTTTGGTAAACTTTGAAGAAAACGAGAGGTAGTGTTAAAGCCAGAAATTCCAACTTGACTCTATTCCTTGGTTCATTGTTACTAGTAAATGTCTATGAAGCTAACTAACTCCAGCTTCCTTTCTTAGCTGTCATAGTGATGATTTGAGGAGGAAAAAATGAAGAAAGTCAGGAAACTAAGGATTATGGTATTTAACTTAGAACCAATGCAGCCTATAAGTTTGTATGTAATAGAACAATGACTGCTAAGGTGTATAATTGGGAAAGAATATAACCTCAATTTTCTTTTTTACCGCAGAGACTGTGGCGGATTGCTTATTTCTCCTCATGATGTCTAACCTCCTGGGGCTCCTCATTCACTGTAGAGAGCAGGGAATAGAAAATTAGTGGAAGTAATTATTAGGGAGAATCAGGGTAGGACACGTGATTTCAGGAAAGGGTTTGGAGACTAGAGAGTGTGGGTGGGGGACAGCTGGATGGATAGAACAGAGGACTCCCTGGGGTGTTCTGACAAGTCACAGGTGTGTGAGGGATGGAGAATGGTTGAGATCTAACTGTTCCAAAGAAAAGATAATTGTTGTTAGGTTATATAAGAGCCTATATTTTGATCACAAGTTTAATCCTCTAAAGTGTTTGCTAATTCTGGCTAAAAATGCAAAAAATGTGAAGTTAGATTGACTTATGGGTATTAAAACACTTTTAAAATTTACTAATTAGAAATTAATAACATGGTTGAAAAGATCATTTCACTCTGAAAACTACCTGTGTTCATGAATTTGCATTTTTTTGCCTGGGCATTGGCACATGTGTTCATTTTTATTGTGAGAATGATATAGAATTGATGAGGAATAATAACATAATTTTCATTGCATTCACTGCAAATATATACTACTTAGATAGAGCAAGTTTAGTTACTTCCCCTTCTCTTTTTGTATGTCTTTATCTAGTCTACTTTCCATAACTCTACCTATACATGAGAATATCCATTGTAAACAAGGACTCATTGCATTCAATTTGTGGTAGGGCTGATTATACATTGCATGTTTGGAATTACTGTTAATTACTTAGAAGCCACAGATTTTGCAGTGTTTTGTTGTTTGATTTTATTTGGCATATTTATTTATTTTTTTCAGTATGTTTTTATTGATTTCAGAGAGGAAGGGAGAGATATAAACATCAATGATGAGAATCATTGACCGGCTGCCTCATGCACTTCCCCTACTGGGGATCAAACCTGAAACCCAGGCATGTACCCTGACTGGAAATCGAACCATGACCACCTAGTTCACGGGTCGACCTCAACCACTGAGTCACACTGGCTGGGCGTGGCATATTTACTAACTCACTAAGTCACAGCTGTTAGTTCTGTATCCCATGTTTGACCTTTTTACCTTTGCTTCTTTGGATTCTTTCATGTCATAAAATTCTTCAGATTATGAAGTATTCTATTTTCAACTCATAGAGACTGAAATATTTATATACTACTGGTTTCTCTTTGTCTTCCTCCAGTATATTAACCTACAAGGCTAAGCTTCTCTATCAGGATGATTTACCCACATTTTTTAAATGATAAGTTTTGATGAATGGAATATTTTAATTTTGGTGAGATCCAATATATCAGTTTTTTTCTTTCATGGGTAGTGCTTTTTGTGTTTTGTTCAGGTTGTGAATATGTGCTCTCATATTTTTTCTAGATGCTTTCTGGTTCTGGCTTTTATATTTAGTTTTATGATCTATCTCAAATTGTTTTTGTAGGTTGTGAGGTAAGAGTTGAGATTCATTTTTTTTCCTACATAGAAAAAGAGTTTTCTCATTGAGTTGACTTAATGCTTTAGTATTCTTTATTACTTTCACTTTCCAATTGTTCATTATGGGTATATAGAAATGCTGTTGAGTTTTCCATTATCCTGTGTCCTGCCACCTGGATAAACTTATGGAAAAGTTATAGTAGTTCCTTTTAAAAATAATTTTTAATGGTTTTCTTCTGTCCTCTGAGAATAATGATGGTTTTATTTCTTCTTTTTCTAGTCTTTATGTCTATTATTATTATTAACTAGTGGCCTGGTGCACGAAATTCATGCACATTAAAAGGGAATTAATTAGAGGAAATATTTTAATACTGCTATTTGCCTTTTCTCTATAATCAAAATGTCAGAGATGAAAGAAAATTAGTAAAATGTATATGAAAATCTTCCTCCTGTCAGAATCTGGGGCGCGCTGTGGGACCCAGAGTCAAGTCCCCGCCCACCCGTGCGCACCTCAAAATCGCTCACGGCCCTAGCTGGTTTAACTCAGTGGAAAGAGCGTCGGCCTGTGGACTGAAGGGTCCCAGGTTCGATTCCAGTCAAGGTCACATGCCTGGGTTGCAGACTTGATCTCCAGTAGGAGACGTGCCAGAAGGCAGCCAGTCAATGATTCTCTCTCATCATTGATGTTTCTATCTGTCTTTCCCTCTCCCTTCCTCTCTGAAATCAATAAAGATATATATTTTAAAAAAGAAAAAAAAATCACGCAAGACCCAGACCGGCCGGCTCCACTCCCATTGGGCAATATCCAGACCCGGCCAGCCCCACCCTCATCAAGCCCCGCTGGACAGGGGGCGCAGCCTCAGGTCCCCCAGCCTGGCGCTGGGCGAGGGGCACAGACTCAGGTCCCTCGTCAAGCCCCGCCGGGTGGGGGGCGCAGCCACAGAGCCCCGGCACACTCTCAGGTCCCCCGGCCCAGTGCTGTGGTGGGGGGCATGGCCTCAGGTCCGCTGTGAAGCCCTGTCAGGTGGGGGGCGTGGCCTGAGGTACCCTGT